ACTCTCACACACACACACACTCACACACACACACACTCATGTGAACTGAAACTGACATTTTAAAAATACAATAAAAGGCACCAGATACAAATAAGATTAAAATATATATATAACTCGATTGCAACTGTGATGCATTTCTATGGAAAGTCTTTCTCTCTCTGGATCTGTCGCCTGTGTTGCCTGGTAACCGCGGCAGCTAGTGATACAATGTATTCTCAAAGTTCTCTCTCACACACACACACAAACACACACTCACACAATTTATAATTATTTCATAATTCATTTCTGTAGGGTCCTATGAAATCTGTATTATTTTTTCCAAAAATCCTTTCACATTTTTTTTTTTTTTCTGTTTTAATTTTTCTGGAATCTGTTTTAATGGTAAAATTTAATTATAGTAATTTAGTAAAAGTATGTCTAATTAATTGAAATCATTCAGCTTATATAATTTATTATTATTATTACCATTAAAATCATATATATTTATATTATTATTAAAGTATTTTTAAAAAATAAATAAATTATTAGAGCCTTATTAAATTCATTGTTTTTCTGTTTGTTTTTTCCATTGTAATTTTTCTGGATAAAGGTTTTTCTGTTTTTAATTTTCTGTACTCCATTGTAATGGTTAATTTTTTGTACGTTTCACAAAAATTGCATTTTTATGGCCTTATGAAATACATTTTTTTTATCTCTGAAATCTTGTTTTGTTTTTACCATATGTCTTTTGTTTTATTTTTTCTGGATTCCATTGTATTGGTTTATGATTGATAATGAAATCCTCATGCGTTTCAGTATCAGTCATTGAGCGATGTATAATAGTATTCGGTAATGCGATATATCACGATAATGAACATGCACGATATTGTTATCGTAGGCACTTCAAAATACAGAGAATAATTATTTATTACAAATTATTCAGATTTTTCGAATGCATTTTAAGAATACTTTTCATGTAAACACGCCCGGATGAGAAGCGCACTTTCACTCTCTGACAGCAGGTGGCGCTGAACAGCAGAAATGCAGCCGTTACCCTGGAAACCCTGTAAACAAAGCAGCTGCAGCGCTACTTCCTGAAACCTCTTTAAATGATTTAAACAGCCATTCAGATTAGTGTATTCGCTATGATGTTCATCACAGCGCCAAATACTTACATATTTAGACATAATAGGCTATTTATTTTCATACTTTTTTTACATTTTAATCTGGACTACAACATGTCCTAGATATTGTTTGAAAGTGTTTTGATTCTTTATTGTTCAGTCACACTTTACATTAAGGCCCCATTAGTTAATTCATTAGTTAACATAAACTGCTAATGAAAAATTCTACTAAACATTCATTAATCTTAGTTAATATCAATATTTAATAACACATTGTTAAAATCAAAAGTTGCTACTGTGTTATTTAATGAGCTAACATGAACTAACAGTTGTATTTATTAACAAAGATTAATAACTTCTGTAGCAAATGTAGCTATTATTAATGTTAGTGCATTAACTAAGGTTAACTAATGAGATTTTATTGTAAAGTGTTACCTATCGGTCTTTATAATTATTTTGCACTTTAATCTGTGTGAAATTATTTACTTTATACATTTTTCGTGTATTGGTTTATTGTATATAAATGTTGTTTTTTTTGTTATAAGAAAAAAGTTATTAAACCTGTAATACTTTATGACAACGCTTTTTTTGCGACTAAATTTCAATATCGTGATAATACCGTATACCGTGCGTTAGCAATTAATTGGCGGCATTGCTCTCAAGAAGACTTAAAATGACTGAAAATATGACAAAACAAGCATTAAAATATGCTAAAACAACTAAAATTGTAAGATATTTCTACCTAGCAAATCATGAATGACTGGAAAATTCTTGTAAATTAAATTGGTTAACAGTTAGCGGGATCCCTGAAAAGCACTCAGCTCTTAAAACTTACTGGAATTGATTTTATATTATATTATTTTAATTATTTTAGTTAGGCTTGTTAAATATATAAAATGCATATCCGAGTCTGAAATTGGATTGGATTCATTCAGATTGATGAACATCAGTGCATGTAAACAAACCCAGTGTTAAACTTAAAAATTAGAAACTTAAAAAATGTAAATCTTAGAAAATGATCCGACTAGGGGTCGACCGATTATCGGCGCCGATATTAAGCTTTTTTTATGGTTATCGGTATCAGTCATTTTCACAACCGATTTGCCGATAAAATAATTTAAAAGCATTTAAAGAATGTTTTTGTCAGAGCCCTTGTTATTCTTAATTTTGACATTAATTTTCATTTTTACACCAGACATATATATCGGTTATCAACAATAATGCATTAATATAGAATTCAACATTCCAATGTGACCGTCTTTGTCTTTTGCAAATTTTGTAAATGCAGCTCATTTACTTTTAGAAGCTGGAATATCATGAAAACTGTAAGCTTGCTCACAGACTGCGGAATATCAATACTAATACAGTACAGAATTCCACAAACAACCACATCACAACTGTTTTCAACCAATCAGCACTCTCGATTCAGCATAGCCCCGCCTCCAGCTGCTACATGCTTATTACTGTCAGTAGATTTTAGAAGAAAACAATGTTAATTGACTAAATGCCACGGATTTGTCGGCCAATTAATCAGGCTATGTGAAGTCTGAATACTAACATAATAATAATAACAATAATTATCTGTATAAATGTTTCATTGCATTTCAACATATTTCAGTGTATATTAATGATTTATGAAGCTGTGTGTGTTAATGATCAAAACATATTATTCTGTGAATGTGTTCACATGATGTTGTGTCTGATTCAGTTCTGATCTACACTAATTACTACAAAATACTGTGCTAGTACTGTGGTACAGTGGCATCAGATAATGCAATGATACTGAATGCTTACCATATTTACCATGGTATTTAAACATTAATACAAGGAGCAATGACAGTGTACAAAAACGTGACATAACGGCACCATCTCCTGCATACACACCTGGTACCGAAACACACACACACACACACACACACACATACCTACCTGTCGACGCAGACCGGACCGACCGAAACCGTCTGAGATTCATTATTTTATTCAGAAACATAAATATGTCAAACCAAAAGGCCCCGGACTGACACACACACACACACACCGATAAGCGGGATATAAACACACACGCGATACGCTAACGCAGGAGGAACAGAACCGCGCTCGCACACCGGGACCGAGCCGAACGGTGCAGACGGGTTCTGATAAACCGCTGTTAGCACGCTGACAGTAACGCGTAACCGCAACGGCGACGAATTCCGCCACTTACCTTCCGCCTTCACGAGCGCCGCCATCTTCTTCACACCAGTGACGTCACGCAGGCGCGCACCAGCCGGAGCCGAGCACGCGCACAGACAGACAGCTAGCTAGAGATAGACAGATAGATAGATAGACAGACAGACAGACAGATAGACAGATAGAACGATAGATAGATAGTAAGATAGACAGACAGACAGACAGACAGACAGATAGAACGATAGATAGATAGATAGAACGATAGACAGATAGATAGATAGATAGAACGATAGAACAATAGATAGATAGTAAGATAGACAGACAGACTGACAGACAGACAGATAGATAGATAGAAAGATAGATAGATAGATAGACAGACAGACAGACAGACAGACAGATAGAACGATAGATAGATAGATAGAACGATAGACAGATAGATAGATAGATAGAACGATAGAACAATAGATAGATAGTAAGATAGACAGACAGACTGACAGACAGACAGATAGATAGATAGAAAGATAGATAGATAGATAGTAAGATAGATAGATAGATAGATAGATAGATAGACAGACAGACAGACAGACAGACAGATAGAACGATAGATAGACAGACAGACAGATAGAACGATAGACAGATAGATAGATAGACAGAGACAGATAGATAGATAGACAGAGACAGATAGATAGACAGATAGATAGAAAGACAGACAGACAATAGATAGATAGATAGATAGATAGACAGATAGATAGAACGATAGAAAGATAGTAAGAGACAGACAGACAGACAGATAGATAGAACGATATAGACAGACAGACAGACAGATAGAACGATAGATAGAACGATATACTTCATTCTAATGCTCATTATATTAGCGTTAGCCGCGCTTATGCTAACGATTACCTACTCTAATAAGAGCGTTCATTTCAATCCTATGTTCAAATTAAAATATTGAATAATATCCATAACAGAAGCGGTGTTTCCCACAGACTTGCACTCTATTTGTGGCGACATATATATGCAGATTCATTCTCTGCCAGCAGGAGGAGCTTGTAGAGCAGGAGAGATAAGAGGTTTCCCTGGTAACCGCTGTAAACAAATAAGCGCTGTGCTCACAAACGCTGCTTTATCAGGCATTACAGGCAAGATGAAATGAAAATGACATCCATAATTTTCTGAAGACAGTCGGTTTCCTTCAGAAATAGTGATATAAAAAATTTATTTGTGGCGGTCAGTTTTGATATTGTGGCGGGTGCCACAAATAAATCAATGTATGGGATGAAATGAAACTTACCTGCTTGAACTCTTTCATTTGATCCGGGTGTCTGTCTTTAAAGTGTTTTGTTAGTTTGGTGTGTTTCCTCGTTTAGATGTCGCCACGTCTCCGTGCTTTTATAAAGAGAGCGCATCTGCGCACCTTTCGGATTCAAGAACCGGGTTGACCGGGTACTCGGTACCAGCGGTACTTAAAAAAAACCTGGTAACGTAACATTTTCATTTTTTTAGTACCGACTTGGTACCGAAGTACCGGGTCTTTTGACAACACTATTTCATACTGACTGTATTTTCATGGTGAATTTGTGTTGGTTTTTATTTTGAAAGTAAAACACAGTGCCGATAGAGAAAATACCTTTTATTTGTATAAAATCATTATTACACAGCATTAATCTCCTGTCAGAGGGAGGAAGAGAGACAGATGTACAGAATCATATGGCTGCCGAGTTCAGACAAAACCTCATCAATGACAGTAATCAGCAGAAATAAGATCAAATCAGAGCATCGTGTGTGATGACAGCGGATAAAACCAACCGCCAGCTGAGGAGGAACAGCCAATCACAAACTACAGGAACCGTGCAAGATTCCAGAACATTCTCCCCTCTCTCAAACACACACACACACTTTCACACACACTCTCACACACACACACTCTCACACACACACACACTCACACACACACTCACACTCACTCACTCACTCACACACTCACACACACACACACACACACACAC